TGCATCCGCTGATTGCGATCTGTTGGAATAGGATGGTTTGAGAAAAAAAATAAAAAAATACTTTCAAAGGAATGACGAGGGGTGTAAATATGAAGAAAATCTGGGGTTCGAAGCTAATTTAGTGTAAATCAACCCTTCATTTAATAGTAAAAGTTGATTGAAAATGTAGTTAAATTGACTTCACCGGAAACCGAAGAAGGATTAACCGAGATTTTGGCTCATTGAATTGTGTGAAAAGTGCTGTAACCCCAATTTGTATGTTTCACAGCGACAGACATGTGCAGAAACATAAACAATCACTTACGAGATGTTTGACCATAAAATATTTATGGTCCTCTCAAAATTAACGTTCCCTATTCATAATTATTGCATATATTAAGTTTGGTGGGATGCCTAAAATCCCAAAATTTATTTCTGCCAAATTAAATTCAATCTCTGAGTAAACTAAATTGACTTATTGGACACGGAAAACATTTTTGCAACGGATTTCAACCTTTGTTGCACACTTAAGACAACTACTCTATCACAATTTTTGCCTCAAGCTTATCGTAGAAAATTCTTGAACAAGTTAGATACGATAAATGCAGCTTTATGCAACTGAGAAAGCCCCAAATTCGCATCAGTGACTCATTGAATCTTGCTACGTCGTGATTAACGCGAGTATTAGATAAGTTTTAGCCCCATCTTTTGATTACGGGGGCACAGATACGGGCGCTTTAGATTAATTTGTAATAAAGCCGTGAAATCGGATCTGTATCGCCTTCGCGATGAGTATTAAGATCCGATTGACTGCTAAGACGGAAAATCGCCCCATACCGAGATTCCAGCTTGTTGGCAGTTGTGAATGAGAGGAGTTTTGCAGGTTACTTACCTCACAACGTTCTCCGATAAACCCATTTGGACAGTCGCATCTGTATCCTCCGGCTACCTCGTGGCAGATCCCTTGATTCTCGCAGGGTCGTAAGGCGCAAGCCTCTTGATTCTCACAATTTCGACCGGAAAATCCTTTTGGGCAGCTACAATAGTAGTCGTTGTCCAGGGCCTTAAGAGTTGACAGAAGTATTTGTGAGTATAAAAGATAGGTTTAAGGGAATAATAGAGTGAGAGCGCAAATCTTCCGTCTAACTCATACTGCTACAACGAAAACTACTACTACTACTACTACTAGTTATTATTATTATTATTATTATT